GAAGGCTGCGCGCGCAGACGTCGACACGACTGCCCTCGTCGCCGAGCTGCAGCAACTTCGTTCCGTCGCTTTCATGCAGAGCAACCAGATCGGTAAGCTACAACGCCAACTAGTGACGTGTCACGACTCGGCACTTCAACTCGCGCAGACACTCGACAAGACACAGCACGACCTCGGCATGACGAAGCATGGCCTCGCGATTCAGAGCGCCGTCACACGGTCGATGAAGGACGAGAAGGCGGCTCTTGCGAAGGCGCTGCAGGTTGCGACTGTGTCGAACGATGAGCAAAAGGCGACGATTACCATAGCCCTCGAGACCGTCAAAGCCATCGAGCTGGTACGAGCGCAGCTGCAAGACGACGTGCAATGCATGCGGCGCGAGAACGCGCAGCTACGAATCTTGGTGTCCTTCACGAGCTTCTCAACGACGACGCTGCGGAGCAGCAGCCCTGCAAGAAGGTCAAGAAGGCTGTCCTAGCCCCGGGCGACGAAAAGTTTGAAGCCGCTCTCGTCACGGCGCGCCTCTTCCTCCAGCAAGGCGACGATGCCAAGGACGCCACCAGGCTTGAGTGGGTAGCCTTCATGCTGGCTCACATGGCCGTCAACCCGCACGCGGTTCCGGCCGGTCGGAAGCGCCGCTGGCTCACGACACTCATGTTCGACGACGCTTTGGCAAGCCTGGCCATTGATGGCTGCAACATGTACGAGAACATATACGTTCCAGAGGTCAACATGTACTTTCCTCAACTGCCCAACACGCGCAACATCGATCCAGACCACGTCCTGAAGCGGTTCGTCACGCACATCAGCAACGGGTTCGCGCATATGTTCGACCCCAAGGCATGGCGCGAGATTGACGACTACGAAAAAAGCGTTCTGAGCCCGACCTGGTTCACGGACCAGCGCGACAAGCAGAACGTACCACGCGCACGTCAATTCTTCTCGGTCGCTGCCGAGCGTTGCTTGCGCGCTCTCGGGAGACACGAAGAAGCGCGCCTTTGCGCGATCTGGCGGAACTTCTTCTCCGTCTTTGACAAGACGGGCATCTCGGACGCGACGCGGTTGACGTACATCGACGAATTCTACAAGTGGCTCGACCATATCGCAAAATCCACAATGTACGGCGGGCCTACAGGCACTCACATACCAGCCAAAGTGGGCCCCAAAGTCGCGAAGGCAGGTCCTGACGGCAACCTGCAATGGCGAGAAGCGCTCCCGGTGGGGCTTGTCGAGTCGCTGTACCTTCTCGGCCACGGCTTCCGCATCCGCGCCGCGGCCCTGGCGGCTCATCCTACAAACACAGCTTACGACGCATGTACCCCGATGGAAGCTCGCC